TTTTTTCTAAGGGCCAAGATGGCTTTCTAAGCGAATGGGCTTGTTGGGCTTCTTGATTTGGGCTTATTATTTTTTGGTTGGGTTATCTCTTGGCTAGGTTATTTTGCTTGGGCTTTTGGGCTATTTTTTCTCTCTTGTGCTTACCCACATGTTTGGGCCTAAGAAATGGGCTTGAGTCTCGAGGCTCCCAAGCAACCCGAGACTTTCCATTTCTTGGTCCATCAATGGGCCTCATGTTGATTTATCACCATCCATGCCACAACCCACTCAAGCAAGCCCCGGGTATTTGAGTGGCTTAGGGCCCACTTAAGCTTGTGGCGTGATTAGGTGCGGAATGATAATTCCTTGCTTAGCGTGGCGTGTCGTTTGGCGTGGCATGTGTGCAAGCGCATATGATGAACTTTCGCATGCCCAAATCGGGTTTCTTCTTGGTAAAGCATCACATTGGGCCGAGAATTTATTTGGGCCGAACCGTGAATATTTTGGGCCTCAACACTCATGCAATCTTTTAGGCCTGCAAAGATAAATGAAGTACTTACCTGTAAGATAAATGAATCTTTTGAGGATAGCATTGTCTCCGCCTATGAACTGGGTTTTACTTCAACCTTTGAATCAGCGCGATGTGGAAGAGTTTTCATGTAATTAAAGAGGTTTCGGAGTAATCTTTAGAGCATCTCCACCCATAAGGGCTAAGTCTAGGGCAAGGGCAAGCAAGGGCTGCCACTATTCACTTGAATAGTGTCAGCCTTGCCATTTGTGGTTCCACCCATGAGGGCTAAGTCTAAGGCAAATACTATTCCTTGTATTTTATTTCCTTTTTTTTTTAATACTTTAATAATCTTTTGTAATTAAATTTTCGGATAAGATTTTTGGTTGTCACGTGTCCATTATTTTTCAGAGAAGATTTTCGGATGAGAATCTCGGTTGCCATGTGTCTTATTCCAGATAAATTTTTTGGATATTCATTTAAAAAAATTATAATATCATATTTTAGATAAGATTTTCACCCTCTAATATTGTGCCACGTGTCCCATGTCAGATAAGATTTTCAGATATTTTTTTTAAAATTATAATCTCATATTTCAGATAAGATTTTTACCCTATAAAATTGTGTCACGTGTCATCTCTGTCTTCTGAATCCCTCTATAAAACTACACCCTCAACTCATACATCTCACACCATCTCTTATCTATTCATTCATTTATAATATTTTACAAAACACTTTCTACTCTCAATGTCAAACTTGATGAGGGTATTGGAGAGGCAACAGAAAAAAAGGGAAGAAATTCGGCGTAGACGTGCTGAAGAAGATCGGGATGCCGATGAAAAAGAGGAACAAATGTTTGTAGTAGCGGTGTGTTAGCTTAATCAATCAAGGCAACACCGTCGTCGTGCCCCGAATGTGGACAGACGTAGAGAGTCTCGGGGTAAGAATCTCTTGGAGGATTACTTTATCCCAAATTCGTTATATCCTAAATATAAGTTTCTAGAGAGATATAGAATGCAACCACAGCTGTTCCAAAAAATCATACATGATATTTGTAATTACGACACATACTTTATTCAAAAGCATGATACTATTTGAGTTTTGGGTCTTATCCCGGAGCAAAAACTTACAGCTGCTTTGCAAATGCATGCTTATGGGGCATCTGTAGAGCAGGTGGATGAGATTGCAAGGATGGAAAAATCTACTATCCTAGAGTGTTTGGTGAGATTCTGTGATGCAGTGAAAAATTTGTACACGATGGAGTACCTTCACAAACCCACGTGAGGGACCTGCAAAGGCTTCAACAAAAAGGCGAGGCTCGAGGTTTCCCAGGAATGATTGAAAGTATCGATTGCATGCACTGGCAGTGGAAGAATTGTCCTACTGCTTGGCAAGGAGAGTACAGGAATCGAAAGGGCCAAAAAAGTATAATTTTGGAGGCCGTAGCTTCATTTAATTGTTGGGTTTGACAAGTTTTCTTCGGGGTTGCCGAATCTCAGAATGACCTCAATGTCCTTGGTCAATCCTCGGTGTTCAACGAGGTATTGCTAGGTTATTCCCCCCAGGTCACGTACCAAATCAATAATACCGTATACTCTGCTGCGTACTACCTTGTCGACGGAATTTATCCTAGGTGGACAACATTCGTGAAAACAATTCCGAATCCCCAATCCGAGAAGGAAAGAAGCTTTGCTTCCTTTCAAGAAGGTTACATGAAAGATGTGGAGATGTGTTTCGGTATCTTGCAAGCTCGTTGGGCAATTATTAGAGGTGCTGCTCAGATGCTAGATGAGAAGGTGCTGCGGAGTATTATGATGACTTGCATCATCCTCCACAACATGATTGTGGAGGATGAGTATGACTACGATGCTTCAGCGGTGTTTGAACCTGATCCAATGAACATGGCATTGACAAGAATATATGAAAGGCCAGTGGGACCAAATGGACTACCAATAGAGACCGAACCGTTACTTCGGGATGGTCGATGCAACAACCCCATGATTGATCGTTATCAAGAAATGCAATCTTCATATGTTCACGAGAGACGTCAAGTTGACTTGATCAAGCAATTGTGGGAGATGAATAAAGGCTGGCAACTAACAGGTCTTGTCTGAACAGTCTCTGGAAAAGATCTGCAACACAACTTATTATTGGATAGATGTCCCACCACCAAAGAAGCCATAAATGAACATCCAGATTGTTTTGATGCTAAAATGTTTTTAATAAATAGTCATATTATTTAATGCTTTTTTTATTGAATAAAAAGGAAACAATACAACAATACAACATATGGAAAAGGTGTTTCAATACAACCTAATGGTTTTCATCATTTAACCAATCCGTATTGCTAGGTCCGTCGTCATGGAAAAGTTTTCTTCTCATTGCATCCCTTCGTCTATGCTTCTAATAGGCCTTTGTTTCAGGAGACATATGGCTCGCATCCATATCCATGATTTTCATCTCTCTATCATCCATGTCTTTTTCATGTGCCTGCTGCTGTTGAATAACAAATGCTTCCTCTCGTGCCATGTCCGCTTCATCTCTTTTCAAGTCTCTCTCAATTCTTAGTGAGGTGTTCTTAGCTATTTGCTCCAATAATTGTACACATTCATTGTTCGAAGTGCCCTTTCTCTTGGCCTTTGCCGCCTTTCTCCTAATAGGTCTCGGCGGACGTGGGAGTGGTGACTCCGTTTCCATTGGGGAGTCCAATGGCGAATCGGTTGATGGCGAATCGTGAAGCGGCGCCTCATTCAACACAACCAGCGGACCAGTGGGAATAGTTTTGAATCTCGAACAATCCTTCACAACTTCCCAACATTGGAAATGCACGAAACTTTTTTTGCCTTGCCCTATGGCACCGAATCACATTTGTGCTTGTATGATATATTAAAAATAAATAATTGGAAGTGCAAGAAAAAAAAATATTATGCAAGAAAATATAAACTATTTTGAAATGCAAGAATAAAATTGATTATGCAAGAAAATATAGACAAATTGGAAATGCAAAAAGAAAAGAAAAAAGATTATGCAAGAAAAAGAAATAGAATATGCAATAAATAAAAAGTTACATTAAATTGATTAAAATGGCAATTATAAATATTTTAACTCATCGGTAAAATTTTGACAGCTTCAAATGTTCTCCCTTGCTTTTGTCAAGGCATTTCTCCATTTTCCTAACTCTTTATTCAAAAGTTTCCATTTACTAGACAATGTCATTTCGGTCTGAATGGAACCAGATCTTTGACAAAATTCTCCACGAATTTTGCTTCACATATGATGGAACTTCATATCATTGCCCGTGACAGGGTCATGACTAACGTTCACCCAAGACTGACACAACGCAATATCTTTCTGAGTTGCCCACGAGCCTCCGGCTTTGACAGAAGATGCCATTTATTTTTGTTTTTTTTTAATACGAATGGAAAGTAGTAGAAAAATGTGAGTGGAGAGTAAAAAATATTGGAAGGAGAAGAGTTTGTATGGGGAATTAGTGTGGAAAGTGAAAAATGTGACTGGAGAGTAAAAAATATTGGAATGAGAAGAGTTTGTAAGGAGAATTGTTGTGGAAAGTGAATAATGTGAGTGAAGAGTAAAAAATATTGGATAAAGAAGAAATTGTATGAAGATTTGGTGTGGAAAGTAAATAAAATAGTTAGGTATTTATAGGGAAAAAATACATAATTTTTTGATATTTTTAAAAAAAGATTTTTTACCATCGGATTTCTGGAAAAAAACCGATTGGAGAGGCCCGGTTGCGACATGTGTCAAATGCCCGTTGTAATTCACGCGTCAACGGTTAAAAAATTTTGAATTACCGTGCGCTGACGTCACCGCCCTCGGGCTGAAGCCCAGGCGAGACTTGCCCTTGGGCCTGCCCTAGTTGGTGGGACCTAGCGATTGCCCGGGCTCATTCTTGCACTGGAGCTCGTTGGGCTTGCGAGGGCAACCTTTTGCCCGGTTTTGGGTAGAGTGCTGGACTTGCTCTTAATGGTCATATATCATTTTTCTTTATTTTTGTGTCATGTTTCGGCGTAATCTGAAATTTGTTTAGTTAAACTTGCTAGATGTTAAGTCCAAAACAGAAGAAAATAAAACTTGCTAGATTGTGGAAAAAATTTGTAATTTATATAGGACTTTCCTTATTGGTTGGTGCTATTTTTGTTCATATGAATTGATGTATCATGTTGATTTGCAGGGAGATAAAAGAACAATAAGGTAGTCTGGAGATTCTCTGATCTTGTATGTCTGCACGAATTTCGGTTCGAAGTTAGCATCATGTTGTAGCTGGGTAATTTGGGAGCTGTGAAACCCCGTATTTATGATAGTATATATAATTTGAAGACTTAATATTTTGCTATTTAATTTATATATTATATTATATTGTATATGTGTGTATTACATAAATATCCTATTCTATTATATATATGTGTATAACTTATATATATATATGTATATTATATATATCTTTTGCCAATAGGTGGCTTCATTAGTAAATGGATTCTTGAATGGGTAGTTAGGTGTCAACAAGGCATGCTAGTAGCCTTGTCAACTCACCATGAAGAAATTAGAATAGGATTTAATCACCACAACGTGTCTTCCTAGCAATTCTTTCTTATCTATTGTTGACTTGGAATGCAAGGCCTTATTGATATATTACTTGGAGATTAAGTTCTTACATAAATGTTGATATTATCATGTACTGTAGCTATCGTCTTCACCACGCTATATATAGACTATTCCATTCCTTTGTTTTTCATTCTCATTTCAGCATTTGTAAGTTTGTATGAAGAGAAAATTAAAATAAAATAAAGAGAGAAAGAGAGAGAGAGAGATGATGAAATTCTTGGAAGAGATATAAGGCTTAGCTTGTATTTTCTTAACTTGGAGCAATGCTTTGGAATCGAGGTAGGGATTTCTTGAGGGTCTTTACAGAAGATTGATTTAATTAAATTCCGTGAGCTTTATATTATGTGTGCTATTATAATGGGTGTTCTTGATATTGTATAATGTTCTTGATATACTATTTACGTATTGTGAACTATTTGAATTAATGTTGGCATGATTATATGTACATTGGTGATATTTAAATGAATACATTGTTGTTATGAGATATGTGAAAGGAAGAACTATATCATGTCATGGTAATTGGTTGGAGTTGTTGGGTGGAGAAGATAATAATGGAAAAGAGGGTAATAGATATAGTCTTTTATGTAGTTGAGTCTAACTCTTGGTAGGTACCAGGTTTCAAGGATCCCACAGTGCACATGGTTTTATTGGGTGATTTGGGACTGGCGAAAGAGAGTTAGACAAGATGACTAACAAAGGGAAATTACGGGATGATTGAGATGGGTGTTAGTTCATATAAATGGGCATTCGGGACCAAGTGGTATAAGCATAGTATGGGACGGGCAGGTCTGCTTGTCCAGTTATATGAATTAACGGGAGTAGATGAAGAGCATTCATTCATGCATTATTATTATTATTCTTAATGTGATATTTTGTTGTGTGATTGCATGTCGCTTAATTTAGTTATATAAATCTACTGTGGTAAGGTCTCATGTCCCTACTGAGTTGTGGTTGCTCACCCCTCACCCTGTTTAATTTTTCAGATGAATTAGTGGGCAAGAAAAGGACTAAACCAGTTGAGGCTAAATTAGATGATTGTGTAGAGCTTTGTTTATTGTAAAGTTGTAAGATTTTTGGATTTATTTTTATAAGAGAAGTTTAGCTTAAACCCTATTTCGCCTTTCTTTTTATTTTATTTTAGTTTTTATTTTCTCACGCGCCGGGCGCGGTGTCCTGCCATAACCAAATTTGATGTTTGTCTTTGACACTGCAACTTTGAACAGTATTAATGACACGATCACGAACTGGTGCAGAAGGCAATGTCAAAGAATATAACCCCCATATCCATTTACCATGCCAAATCGTCTCGTGAGTCTTAAGATCCTAAAAAGAGTAATGCGTATGATAAAAAGTAGCAAAAGCTTTAAGTGCCCAACAGATAACAAGTTACAATGGATATTGGGAACTAGTAACGAACGAGACAAGGACATAGTATGAGTGAGAGAGATTGTGCCCTCACCAGTAATTGGAGAGGGCAAGCCATTAGCACTAGTTATGTATGGGTCACAGGTGTTATTAGACAACTCATCAAAAAATTTAGCATCGTAAGTCATATGATCAGAAGCACCAGTGTCAATTATCCAAGTATTGGAGCCAGTACTTGGAATAGAATTAGAAACACACAAATTTGTAGAGACAGCAGCAATAGCACCAACAATGGAGTTATCACACATGATTGCAGCAGAAATTCAACAGATCACGGCAGAGTATACAACGGAACACAGCAGAGGCACAAATACGGCAAATGCACGAAGACAGGCACGAACACAACAGAGTACACAGCGAAACACAGCAAATGCACAAATACTGCAGATGCAGGAAGACAGGAATGACACGAACGCTACAACACGACACACAAAACCAAGAGGGCACACACGACATAGGTAGAGAAAAAAATATGGGGATAAAACACGGGTGGGTACAACACACATGTCACTAGAAAAAGTTTGCTCTGATGCCAAGTCAAACAATATGGGTAGAATATTTTTCAGGTTGTATTTCATTCACCAAAAGAATGTATTTATAGTACAAGGATATAACCCTAGTATGGTCAAACTAGGAAACAAGATAAAAACCTAATTACACAATATCTGTACAAAAAAGAAAGAAATATAATCCTAATAAACTAGGAAATAAATATCATAATTAAGCTAGGATCTCGCTAACAAATAGTTGCTACCCTTGCAAAAGTTTGTGGTGTTTCCACCAATTGTCATGGCAACAACTATTCATATGAGATATGAGGAAAGAAATTTGAATAGAGTTGAAGTGGGAAGTGAAAACTATAACTAAGTATTTTTTATTTTTTTAAAAAAATTTCGATAGATGTTGCCTGAGGGCTAGCCTGGGTTCGTGGGCCTCATCTCTTGCTAGGGCTAGCCCTTGCTGCTGAAAACAGTTTTTAGGCCTAAACACCCCCTCCAGCCCCCCCAGCCCTTGTTACTGGAACTGTTCTTAGACATACGGAGAAAGGGATCATGGGTAGTTTCAAGAACTGAGCCATGAACAATCTGTCTCTCCCTCACCATCTCTCAATCCTTGACTTGTTTAATTGAGATTCCATTTTTATTTTTCGTTTAATGTTTTACAATAAAAAAAAATCATCCTCCTCCGTCGATTATTGTTACGATGAGTCACACTTATGTATGCAAGAGATGCACATTTTCTTTTCTTTTATTTGTTTTGGGAAATTGGGTAAAATATTATCCACGCACGCACGGCCAAACTTATAGACCAAATACTATCCACCCAAAAAAATTTGGTAAAATATTATCATTAATAAAAATAAAAATAATGGGTTTGTATTGTTGTAGGCCTTTTTGAAAAATAAAAATAAAAATAAGTTGCCATTACAAGCCCAATTACTGAAAACATATTTAATCATTTGGGGCCGACTTCAGTACAAAAACATGTTTAATCAGCTCGGATTGTCTGAAGCCCAACCTTAATTAGAGCACCCAAGACTAGATAAAACTTGGGCTGGCCCAAAAACATGAATCTACAAATTCTATTCGGGTTAGGTTTGATTCTACTGGATTCATTCATGAATCGGTTGTCATAAAAATGTTACTAGTCTGAGGATTTTTAGGTTTAATGGTCTTTGAATTTTGAGCCGATTTGCATTTTGGTCCCTCAATTTCTAAAAACGTTTTTGTAGTCCTTCAATTTTAGTTTCATTAGGACAAATGGTCTTGTCATTAATTTTGTTAACTTTTTCTTTTAAATTTGAGCATGTACATGATACATGATGTACTATTGATGGTCAAAATCAGAAATTACTTCAATCCTGAGGTACATGGGCAATTCCTGACACACCCAAACCCCACACCGACTCCCCCACAACTGCAACTTAACTCTCCCCATGCATTATCTCCCTCCCTCCCCAAGCCAAGCCCATTAAAACCCACCACCAATCGACTAATGATATATCTACCTTCCTCTAATACAACAAAGCAATGGATAACCTCCAACTAACACTGAGTCAATTAAACCGCCACCCTGACAACAACTGATAGAGCTCCCATAACCCACACTCCCACCCAAACCATACCCACCCTCCCTATGATGACGAGGATAGGAAGAAGGTTTTTTAGCTTTAAAAATAATATTTAGATATAGTCGAAATTAAAAATAATGAAAAAAAATATAATTTTCCCAATGCATTTAACATAAAATATAACAAAATTGACGACATAACAATTTGTCCTAACGAAAGTGAAGTTGAAGGACCACGAAAATGAGTTTGAAAATTAAAAGACCAAAATACAAATCGGTCAAAATTCAGGACCACCTAAAAACTCTTACTCTTTTTTTGAAGAAAAACCATTCTAATGTATAAATACGAGATAGAGTGGAGACTAGAGGACCAAATTTGGCCTGAGTGGTTTGACACTCACTCTTGCAGCTGATGTAAACCTTTGTATTCGTCTTGAATGAATTCCTTCATGGCAGAACCAGCCCTGGATTTTCGTTCTCCATATTTAGTCTCTGTGAGTATCATCCTCCTCTTGCTTGTAGCCCTCCTGTTCTCTCCTTTAAACCAACAACACCATCTCTCTCTCAATTTCTCTTCTTCGCCCACCTCCCCATCATCATCTTTTTACCACCACCAACAAATTACCACCGATAACCACACAGCCTTGCATTTTGCACCTGCACCTTCCCCATCCCAAGCACTGCTGGAGTTTCAGCGCCATCAGTCTCCTCCGTCAACTTCTGCGCCTAAACTCACTCATACCACTATCAAAGTACGCAACCTTTGACAACACTAGTTAATTCATTTAAGTTTCATTTTTCTCTGTTTGTTTGTTTTTGTTCTGTTTTCAGAAAAGAAAGAAAAGGAAGTCATTTTGGCAATAATGCCAAAAATTACTTTATAAATATATGTGTGTGTGTGTGTGTGTGTATCTCCAGAAGAACCAGAGCAAAACAGAGAGGATTGAACAAGAGTTGAGCGTAGCAAGAGCGATTATCCGCAAAGCTATTGTTACGAAGAATTGCACGTCTAACAGCAACGAGATTTACATCCCCACAGGAAGTGCATACAGAAATCCCTATGCCTTTCATCAGTTAAGTCTTCTTCTTTTTTCTGTTCTAAATTAAGTGTAGCCGGTGGTGTTTGAATCCTATCCTTTGTTTGCTTGCCACATGCAAAACCAGTGGATTAACCCAGTCGGTTTTGGAAATGTTATTATAATATGTTTTTAAACGGTGTCTTGCCATTTTCTGTTCTGCTGGGTGCATGCTTCCTTTTCTTGGTTGTCCCTCGCGAGCAAGTCCACTTCCAAGTTTCTCTTTCCAGAGCGGTCCACATTTGTTGTAACAACTGGCATTATGCTTATATTTATACGACCTTGTCTTGTCTTGTGGATGCTGCTGTTGCTCTTTTGGGTTAAGACTCAAGGAGTGTAATTTTTTTTTTTGGTTACAACAAGGAGTGTAATTTGTTATGCTGTTTTGGGTTAATAATAGGAGTCACGTAGAGATGGTGAAAAGGTTCAAGATATGGGCCTACAGGGAAGGAGAGGTACCCATGGTCCACAATGGGCCCACCACATACATCTACTCCATCGAAGGCCAGTTTATTTTCGAGATGGAAAGTGGGCCAAGCCCATTCATGGCCCAACACCCTGATGAGGCCCATGCCTTTTTCCTGCCACTCAGCGTGTCCAAGATCACCGACTTCCTCATCAGACCTCACCACGAAACATTTTTCCATCGACTCGACCGTGTCTTCACCGACTACATTTATGTCATCTCTGATAAATACCGTTACTGGAATAGGAGCGCTGGAGCCGACCATTTTTTTGTCTCATGCCATGATTGGGTAAAGCTTATATTATGTTTTTCAAAATTGTTCTTTTCTTTTCTGACAATCGTCATGTTGCCCTAAACTATTCTAATGTAATCCTCCCTCGGGTATAAAGGGGAGCAATAATGTTATTATTAATTTATTTGATTGATTGACTTTTTTCAGGCGCCACTTATCTCACGTGATGATCCCAGGCCCTACAAGAATCTGATGAAGGTGTTATGCAATGCAAACACCTCTGAAGGATTCAAGCCTACCAGAGACGTCTCACTGCCAGAATATAACCTCAAAGCCTACGAACTTGGACCGCCCCGTTTTGGCGAACGCCCTTTTCGGCGTCCAATCCTTGCCTTCTTTGCTGGTGCAGCCCATGGAGACATCAGGAGCATTTTGTTTGAGCACTGGAAGGAAAAAGATGATGAAGTTCGAGTTTATGAAAAACTTCCTGAGAATATGAACTACCACAAACTAATGGGGCAAACCAAGTTCTGCTTGTGCCCAAGTGGTTCTGAAGTGGCAAGTCCTAGGGTTGTGGAGGCAATGTATGCAGGGTGTGTCCCGGTCCTCATTTCCGATTACTATGCCGTACCCTTTGATGATGTTCTTGATTGGACTAAGTTTTCTATACAAATTCCACCCAAGAGAATACCAGATATCAAGTCAATACTGAAGGCTGTTCCATTTTCGAAGTACTTGAAATTGCAGAAGAGGGTGATGCAAGTGAGAAGGCATTTTGAGCTCAACCGACCCGCTAAGCCCTATGATGTATTTCACATGGTGCTTCACTCAGTGTGGCTTAGAAGGCTCAACATTCGGTTGCCAGATCGATTTTAGGGACCATCAGGAATGTTGTGAAGGTTTTAATAATCATTGTTTTAGCATGAGATTAAACTCACAGTGATGCGTCAAGCAAACACTAGTCATTCAGATAGTGATATTTAATTATAATGGATGAAAAATAAAGAAGCGTGATATTACAGTAAGTGATTCTCCACACGTCTTTCCCTCCCCCTTCCTTCCTAGTGTTACTTTGCATGACATAAGTCTTGTTGATGTTGATCCTTGTCCCATTTTCTTAACCAAAAAGAAGGAAAAAGAAACTGAAATAAATATATAATTGGCTTTTAGTCAATCGAATACAAAACAGAGAAGCCAAGATAGGCGGCCGGCCGTTTTGTTTAATCCAACATGTTTACCCTTTCAAGTGTTGGATATGCCATTTACATATTTACTTTAATCCAACGGGTAATCTGTGTGCTCTGTAATCATCCAGGCCTAAATTTTGAAGGCATATGAAACTTCCCTTTCCAGCATGGAAGATTTGGAAGAATAAATTTCAAATTCCCAATTTGTTTGTGGTTGCTTTTTGAGCATAATGCAGTGCAGCATATGTTACAAACATTTGGTAATATGTTAATTAGGAAAACGAGAAAGGGGTGTGTCATGTGACGTGGCAGCATAAGAATGGGTGATAGGATGTTTATGGAAGTAAAGCAAGGAGAGAGGTAGATGTTAGCAGCCTGTAGGCTGTTACCTGTATGTATGTAAGATTAACATTTGGCCATCATGCGGTGAATCCTGTCCTACATTAAATTTAAGGGAGTTTCACTAAAACACCCAAAATGGAGGTTGAAATTATAAAAAAACCCAACACCCAAAACACTTTATAAACACACCCAAAACTCATCATTACACACACTCAAAACCCATTTATAAACACACCCAAAAAGTTGACTTTGGGGTTGATTTTGGGTGTGTTTCTATGTTTAAATAGTGCTTGGGTTTTTTTATAAATACATGTCTAGGATTGAGTTTATTTATAAATTTGTATAAATTTAAAGCACTTGTGCCTTTGTTCCTTTAATAAAAATAAAAACAACTTGTTGGTTCTGCAATCTGTCTGCATTTTATTAAAAGGGGTTTATGGCAGCCTTTGAATTCCGGTCACCCTATTTACTCTCTGTAATTTTTCTCCTCCTCATCCTCCTCCTTCTGGTTCTTCTTCCATTCTCTCCCTTCAACCAAAACCATTTCAATCTTGTAAGCCTTTCTTCTTCTTCTTCTTCTAGCCCTCGTCAAAGCAACCAAACAAGCCAATATCAATACGTCTCACCTGCACCCTCTCCTTCTACTTCCTTTGTTGCAGACCATGTCAAAGTAAGCAGCTTTACATGTTGTTTGTATGTTCTTCGCAATTATAACATTATTTGGCCTTTTGGGCGCTTGTTTTCTTTTATTGTCTTGATTTTTTTCCTTTCTTAGGTTGTACGTTTGTTTTTTGTGCCATAACGTTTTCAGAAAAAGAAGCGCAGTGGAATCACGATTGAAGAAGAGTTGGCGAGAGCGAGAGCAGCCATCCGCAAAGCCATTCGTACGAAGAAGTATACATCTGATAGACAAGAGATTTACATCCCCAGAGGAAGTGTGTACAGAAATCCCTATGCATTTCATCAGTTGAGTTTTCTTTTTTCTTCTCTTCTTTATTTGGTTTTTCTATTTAAAACACATACATATATGGTAAAGTCTAGGGTTTTCATTTCTGGGTTGGAATGAATCATGAAGATTTTTTTACCTTCTAATTGCCTAAAAAGTTTGGTGGGGTTTTAATGTTTTTGGACTAATAATCATGCTCATTTTTTTAAGCAAATTGTTATGCCGATCCTTTTCTTACGAACAAAGCAATCCCTTTCAATTTCCAACTTGTGGCCCCTTCCAACTTTATTTTACTAGATTCCTCTTTATTTATTTTTTGTAATTATTGAGGACGGTCCAAATTATTGTCTTGTTTTTTGTTTTTTTTCCTGCTGTTTATAATTATATATACTCAACGACTTGTATTATTGATTGTAATTAATAAATATTAAAATAGCATTATTTGTCTCTCAAAGCAAAACTCAAAAATAGTTTTTCTATCTAAAAAAAAAAACTCGAAAGAGTTTAATCCCAAGGCAACTCCGATCCAGAGATGCACGATTGGTTTTGAAAATTGGGATTAATCCCAAGGCGTTGCGTTACACTCTCAAGTGTTGACTCTGTTTCTTGTTTAGTGTTGACTTTAAGAGATGAATTTGATGGTTGGTTTGGGTTTGGGTTATGTGGGTGAGCAGGAGCCACATAGAGATGGTGAAAAGATTCAAGATATGGGCTTACAAGGAAGGAGAAATACCCATCTTCCATAACGGGCCCATGTCCTACATCTACTCCATTGAAGGTCATTTCATCGATGAGTTGGACACCAGTGGAAATTCCCCATTTTTGGCCCGCCATCATCACGAGGCACATTCCTTCTTTGTCCCTGTAAGCGTCAAAAGGGTTGCTGATTTCTTGTATGATCGCCCTAAACCATACACATTTCACGGTCGACTGGTTCGTATTGTCACCGACTACATCAATGTTGTGGCCCACAAGTACCCCTACTGGAATAGGAGCAATGGAGCTGACCACTTTATGCTCTCTTGTCATGATTGGGTATCTATCAACTTCCACAACTCTCCTTGGAATTTCATTTCCGAACACCAATACTGCTTGGTTCCTTACAAGTAAAACGGCAATGTGTCGTTACGTTACGATACGTTGGAGACAAGTATTTTCCTTTATTTCCCCAATATAATAAAACCTATGTTTCTTTAATTTTGGCAGGCACCAGAAATCATAGATGATGACCATGAGTTCTACAAGAACTTCATAAGAGTACTCTGCAATTCTAACACCTCAGAAGGATTCCAGCCCGGGAGAGACGTCTCACTACCAGAATATAACATACCGGAGAACACTCTTGGCCCATCGCTCCTCCACCAACACCCCGATAACCGGCCTATCCTGGGCTTCTTCGCCGGTGGTGCTCATGGAGACATAAGGAAGTTTTTGTTTGAGCATTGGAAGGACAAAGATGATGAAATCCAAGTCCATGAGTATCTTCCAAAGGGGCAAAATTACCACCAAATAATGGGACAGACCAAGTTTTGCTTGTGCCCAAGTGGGTCTGAAGTTGCTAGTCCTAGAGTGGTTGAGGCCATGTATGCAGGGTGTGTCCCTGTGCTCATTTCTGACTATTACTCATTGCCCTTCGCTGATGTTCTCGACTGGAGCAAGTTTACAATAGAAATTCCACCAAAGAGAATACCCGAGATCAAGGCAATATTGAAAGCTGTTCCACACTCAGAATACTTGAAATTGCAAAAGAGGGTGATGCAGGTGAGAAGGCATTTCATGCTCAACCGACCGGCTAAGCCATTTGATGTATTTCATATGGTGCTTCACTCCATATGGCTAAGGAGGCTTAACATCAGGCTACCCAATTAATTTTATTCAACAACCATAATAAGCATTCTTTTAATATTTTACTCTTGGAATTTTACACCATTTGTAAAATCTTCTATAATTTTGATCATTTTGATCCCTCCTTCCTACATCATCATCTACAAATGAGTAAAACAAGGGACGGATTATTATCACTATATCTGTTCGCTTCAGAACTCAACAAGAAGCTGAAAGAAATACAGGGTACTCTGCTCTGACAACGATACGTGAGATTGTAAAACAACAACGTGTTTAGTAAATTAGCAAAATTGAACACAAGTGGAATGTTTCACTTGACACATTATTCATTATTGCAACAAAGTTCTACACAAGGTCAAAACGTTACAAACCCACAAGCCTCAAACCCGCTTTTACATCCCAGCCAGCACAAGTTGCATAGGAAACATAAATTGCTGAACAATACAATGCAAGAAGTACTTCAGAGAAAGTAAAGAAATATGAAATAATTCAATTGTGAATCTCATTACCCTCAGTCGACCGCCCTGGTGCAGGGGTAATTGGGGCTGGTTGTTTGGTCACAGCAGCCATAATATCCGCATAACCCACCACTCCAACTAAGATATCATCACTTTCATCCTCAGTCACCCACACATGGGTTGCCCTGTGAGACAACATCTGAGCCATGACTGCTGCCAATGAACTTGTAACCTTACAGGTCAATGGTGCGCTTCTGCCTCTATACATGCTTCTACTCACTCCCAAGCTTGCGCTCGCAGGACTGAACCCTATACTCCTGCTACTGAAACTTTTCAGCTTTGTTGACCCACCACCATTAGCCACATTATTATTTCCAGCAGTTTGATTTATAGAGATATCTGGCAGTGATCTTGAGGACGCATTATCCTCAACTCCCATGACAAACTGTCCAGCTGAGAGATTAGCTAAAGCCCATGCTGCAGCTAAGTAATCACATTTCCATAGTTTGGAGGCAGATATCTCTCCAATAATCTTGTACTGATCTTCCAGTGTGTGTTCGACAACAGCAACTGCACTAGGGTCTTCAGGAAGCTTATGAGTGGCTTCAATGGCTGCAGACGAGGCTTCAACAAACTGGTAGTTTGTGTTAATGGCCCCAAGAGAGGAGATAGAGGAGAGAGGAATAGGAGCTAGGGCACCTAGGCAGCCAATCAGGAAACGAATAACATCTTCTCTTGAGAGACAGCAAAACTTGTCGCGGGTACTGGCAGCGGAAGATGAGGAAGGCCGATTGGCAGCAAGGCTATTGCTGCTGCCACTAGTATCCATGTTCTTGAGCCACTTACCACTATAGATAACTGAGAAACGTTTGCTCATGCCTTTCCATACAACACTCTTTTGAACAAGAAGACGCTTTA